GATTCAAACCTGCCAGCTCCGGAGTATGTGGCTGGTGCCCTAGCCACTGAGCTACAAGTGCTGAGCCCCAGCTGTTTTTTTGTTGTAGTTGTCATTGTTGTTTTAGCTGGCCCAGGCCAGGTTCGAACCCTCCATCCTCAGTGTACATGGCTGGCGCCCTACCCACCAAGCTCTAGGCACTGCCCATGAGTTTGTTCATATCTTCCCCTCTACTGGGCATTGCTCCTTTGCCTCCACTTGTCTCCCTGGTAAGTTCTTATCTGTTTGTTCTTCAAACCCAGTTTATATGTTAGTTACTTCAAGAACTCTTTCTGGGCAAAATTAACTGCTCCTTCTTCCAGCTTTCATTTAAATCTTATTACTTTGTTATAGTGCTTAACTAAATTGTGGCTTTTTGTGTGTGAGTAGGTATCTCCTTAGAAGGTGATTAGCTCCTTAAGTTCACAGTATCACTTAATGCCAATTGCCATAGCAGATCAACTTGGAAATGTGTAATGGTTCAGACAGTCACATAAAACCCAAAATAGGTTTGTGATTAAACAGTTGACTCTCTTCCAAGTAATGATTCAGGCTCTTTCCAGCTTAAGATTCCACCCTCTTCAATACTTGCCCTTCAGGATTGCTATGCTCACTTCAGTCAACTCAGTAGGTAGAAAAGACCATGGGATATTGCCTGGGAGATTTTCATGAACTATAAGCCTTGTATTGCATTTTCTGTAAATTCTGTTATATGCCACCCTTATCTGTAGAAAGTTTGGGAAGTAACAGTTTACATACCCAGGAGAAAGAACAAATGGTTTTGATATCCAGTTATTCTCTGATACAGACAGATACCAGGTTCATCTTCATATCCTCAGGCCTACCACATAGAAGGCACTGAATATTGGCTCCTATATGTAGTAAAGATAATACCTATGAAGGGGCAAGTAGATGAACAGATAAGTGAGAACAAGAAAATGAAGTAATGAGTACCTATGTCCTCCTTCAAACCAGTGCCCCCTTTTTCCACTAGCCAATGATTTACAAAATGTAATTTAGAAACCAGCTAGTTTCCGGGCAGTTCTCTTAATATGCTCTTGTTGAAAATATAATAGCATCTCATATAATTTGTACATGACACCAAAGGAAAACAAACATTACATTACTGGAATACTTCAAAAAGTTTTTTTGAGACAGAGTCTTAAGCTGTCACCCTAGGTAAAGTTCTATGGTGTCACAGCTCACAGCAACCTCATACTCTTGGGCTTAAGTGATTCTCTTGCCTCAGCCTCCCAAGTAGCTGGGACCACAAGTGCCTGCCATAATGCCCGGCCATTTTTTTGGTTGCAGTTGTCATTGATATTTGGCCGACCAGGGCTGGATTCAATCCCACCAGCTCTGCTATATGTGGCTGGCGCCCTAGCCGCTTGAGCTACAGGCACTGAGCTATTCAAAAAGTATTCTTGACAATACTGAACTTTCTTCATGGCACACCAAGTTAATGAAAGGGGTAGAGATGATAAGTGGTTCATTGAGTCTTCTGTCTCAAAGGTTTGGGACCCAATAGCACGGGTTTATCACAGTTGTTGTAAGATCATAGATATTAGACCTATACCTAATTTTGTGGATTAAGGATGTTCAGTCAATAGAAATTAACTGCTATCCAGGTGGAACAGAACCACATTTTTTAAAACTCCTTACTAAAGTAAAATATATAAGCATAAAAGTATACATAAGTGTACAACACTATGAATTTTTACAAACTGAATAAGCCATGTAAGCACTCAGATAAAGAAACCAAATAGTATCATTGCCCCAAACTCCCAACTTTGCTTCCTGTCACTGCCTCCCCTTCAAGTGAGCACTGTCAAAGATCTTGATACTATTCAAATTGTATTTTAGTTTTGATTTTACTGCATTCTGATTAAGTTAAATGTGAAAATCTATGTTAAGAATGGGGGATCAGGCTCGGTGCCTGTGGCTCAAGTGACTAAGGCACCAGCAACATACACCTGAGGTGGCGAGTTCAAATGCAGCCTGGGCCCGCCAAACAACAATGACGGCTGCACCCAAAAAATAGCCAGGCGTTGTGGTGGG